AAGAAGATAAAATCATATCCATTTTAGATATGTGGCTGCCTCTAAATGAGTACTTTTCAGCCAGGTGTTACATCCAGATGGATTCCTGGAACACCTGCTGATACCACAGTCAGCCAGAGCTTCATTCTCACCTTCACTGTAAAGGCAAATACCTCAGGTGTGGATGCTTTAACCTCTTGGGAAGCTGTGATGGTTCCCTAAATTGAATGAATGGTAGATTGAGGCTGGGGGTGCTAAAGTGTTGACTATGAGGTACGATGCCTGAAGAGGTAGGAAGACAGGTCAAGTGTGGCGGATGATTGGGACATACTGGAAGGATGAGGAGAGAAACACCCATGGAGTGAGGATGCCCAATTACATTAAGCATTTAGAGAAAATGTCAACACTTACGATGGCACTATCACAATTTTTTTTACTTTCAAAAATAAGATGCATAGAACTGAATGGAAAGGCTTGTAAGACCGGAGTCATTGTGAGGCTATTAACCAGTATTAATTTGGGAGAATTATTAATGAAAGGTGCTATGCAAACTATGTCACTTGTATGGTATTTCAGACAAGGTTTTTGTGCTTATTTTTGTCTTCTTATCAGAAAACAACAATAGTAACCTCTTCCAGAATTAATTAGCATGGAAAAGACCTTTGTACTCTGATTGACTATATTTGTTCTGACGAAATGTTCTCTTTGATATCGATGTTGTATATGAAATGAACCTGCCGGTGGCTGTCTTCCTTTAATTAGGAAACTTAATACGCCAGCACTGTCTCGATGCCACACACACAAAAGTGAATATTTAAGAAACATGACTAATTTGCAGTAATTCAGAGTGCTATCATAAATAACACAGCTCATTGTTTAAAAAATTATGAAAAAGTACCTTAACAATGTCCTCAGAGAGAAATCAAGATACATGTTTTAGGCTAGAAATTCTTAATTCTGGCTACATTCAATGTTGGCCTGGGGTTATAGTTAAAAGTATGGATCCTGATTTTAATCCTCAGACCAAGTAAAATTGATTTTCAGGAGCTGGGACCCAGAGAGTTTTAAGAGCTCCCGGGTGACTTGAATGTGTAGCCAGAGTTGAGAACCACTGAAGTAGGCGATGCTGCCAGGCCACCAATATGTTCACTACTGAAAACTCAGGATGAACCTTCTGAATGCTATAAGCAAATTCACTCTCAGGTTTAAAATAAGTGTTACAATAGGTTAATGCCACTTTTTGATCAATTCTGGCTTTATTTTCTTTCTATTCAGTTTATGAAAAAGAGAAGTCCCAGTTCAAAGGCATTGCCCATGCACAAGTCCAGCCAGCCACAGATCTGAAGGCAAATCTTGCTCAAATGAAGTAAATCTTGGGTGACAGTAGCAAAAAGCAAAAGGGAAGGCTGAGCAAACTTGTCTCTGCTACAGGAAAAATAAAAATTATATTGACTACCAACTGAGGGTCAGGATAGAACCTTTCAATATTACTGTTATTCCAAATACTAGGTGATTATTAACCAGTTTCGAGTTTCAGTTTTAAAAACTCTCCATTGAATTGTGTACTAGTTTGACTGAAATAAGAGCAATTTTCCCTACCTATGAAAAATTCTGATGTGAGTTTTTTCTTTACATATTCTTATTATATAATATTTATATATGTTGTTTCGAGAAAAAAAATATAGACAAATAACCTTATTGTGTGAAGCTATGCATTCTTAGCTAGCATACTGAAATATTTATTTCTACCTCTTTTCTAATACATTTTCAACAAAAATGAGGGGAGCCCTACATTTACATTTAAGCTATTTTTTCCCCACTCAGCAACATGCCACGAAAGGTCCAATAGTACAGTTACAAGAATATTCAACTTCTTTCCATTCTTAAGTTTGATGATTATTATCAAGAAAACTGTCAGGGAAAATATTTTTCATTTCTGATATTATTTTTTTCGAATAGAATTTTAAATGAAAAATCGAATACGGAGTCTCTAAAGTAAGTGTTCTACAGGTTTCATCCTTTGGCTCATACAATAAAATATCTCATTGAAGAGCTGGGTGTCATCAACTTGTTGGTAAATAAAGAAAGTTCGAGATGGCTGAATGAGTTTTCAAGTATATTTGCCATCCCTTGCTCTAAAGACGTCATTATCATGATAATAAATCACTTTCAAAAAGTATCTTCCTACAATAATTTTCTAGAAGGCAAAATTCTGATGTAAGAGTGTTAACTGATACAGTAGCTTAGTCTAGATTTTTTTGCAGTCAGGAAGACGGTGAACCTCTTTAGCCAAATCCTAAAGATGCCTGGGCTCAAAGGTGGTAGATAAGCACAGGAGTGAGAGTCAGAGGTGAAAACCTGAAGAAAACTGAAGGTCTGACAATACAATATGCAAACACAAACTTTTTCTCTGAAGAAATTCAAAGTGCGGGAGCACTCTGCATGTGCGAGTCAGCTCTCTGGAATACGGTTTTCAATCCGACATTGGGTGCATCACCTAAGTGATGGCTCCTTAACCATTTATTCGTGAAATCTTTCCTTTCCTGAGACTCGTGCATGTACCTAGAACTCTGAGTCAGCCTTCTTCTTGTTGTATTCTTAAATGTAAACAGATGACCAAGGATCACCAGAAACGGTTGGAAATTCTACAGCCTAAAAGACAATGACTAATTGAAGCAGGCCAAAAAAAATGGATCCCTGGAACAACAGGATAAACTTCAAAAGCAAAGGAAAACTTAAGACAGTCACAAGTGTAATTAGAGAGATTAGAGAGGTTGTGTTGATGACATGCAATAGGATGTTCTGGAAAAGTTACATCAATATACATACATGATCTCATCTTCTCCTCAACACACACACACACACACACACACACACACACACACACAAATAAAAAGTCATTTGGAAGAAAAGTGCAGGAAATCTTCCAGAACTGAGGCAGAAATCAAAACCATGAGATGAAAGAAAATGTACACACATGCATGCACACACACTTAAACATAAAGCTGTATGATTCTGTTACAAAAATAAAGATAATAAAAATGCACAGAGAGAAGAAAAAAAATCAATGACAAAGGAACAAGAATCAGACAACAATTGGGCTTTTAACAGTAACAATGGATGCTGGATGAAAAGTGAATCCAGTTTCCAGGTTTCCAGGAAAATTATTTTTAACCTAGGACTTTATAACCAAGCAAATACAATGAAGTGTAAGAGTGAACTGACGTCGTCTCAGACATACAATAACTTACAACGTTTGCATCACATCTGAGCCTTCAGAGGTAGCTGCTTAAGGATATGCTCTGGAAAATATGAGACTGAAAACTGAGAAAGAGGAGTATGCGGGACAGTAGAAACTGGAACTAACCCAGACATCTAATGAAAAGTCACCAGTGAGAATGGGGAAAATTAACAAGGCAGGAAACAACAAATGTTGGAGAGGATGCGGAGAAAAGGGAACCCTCTTACACTGTTGGTGGGAATGTGAACTGGTGCAGCCACTCTGGAAAACTGTGTGGAGGTTCCTCAAAGAATTAAAAATAGACCTGCCCTACGACCCAGCAATTGCACTGTTAGGGATTTACCCCGAAGATTCAGATGCAATGAAACGCCGGGGCACCTGCACCCCCATGTTTCTAGCAGCCATGTCCACAATAGCCAAACTGTGGAAGGAGCCTCGGTGCCCATCGAAAGATGAATGGATAAAGAAGATGTGGTCTATGTATACAATGGAATATTCCTCAGCCATTAGAAACAACAAATACCCACCATTTGCTTCAACGTGGATGGAACTGGAGGGTATTATGCTGAGTGAAGTAAGTCAATCGGAGAAGGACAAACAGTGTATGTTCTCACTTATTTGGGGAATATGAATAATAGTGAAGGGGAATATAAGGGAAAAGTCAGTGAACACCAAGAATTTCTTAAGGAAGAAGAATGAGGTAAAGGATATAAAAGTTAGAATCTGGAACATATGGGAATACTTAGAAGATGAGATATTTTCTCCTCACTAGAAAAAAAAATAGATAATCTAGGAAAATGAAACTAACAAAAGTTTGTGGTATAAGCAAGAAAGTAAGTTTAGTGTGGCATGATTCTGGGTAATCTATATTTTGATGGAGGGTTCGAAAGGGGAATCGATGTGACCTCAATTCTGGGACTATTCAAGACTGGCACAGGGGTCATAACAACTTGGAACTGTAGAAGACGATGTGATCCTATAAGTGCCAGAAGCCTTATTTTCATAGAAGTGCCACATTTGCCAAGTATAGAGTCAAAAGATAGTGTTAAAATGTGATAGAACATGACATATTGGTGTAAATATACTACTTAAAGCTACAAATTTAATCGGGAGAGAGGTTTAAAATTTTAAATTGCAATATAACTATGAAAAATTGAAGGGTTATGCACATAAGCTAAATCTTCATCTAACGCCACAGGGGATCAACAGGTACTGCTGGTATTTAATAAATCTAGAAACAGTGGTATTAATGTGCTTATTCATAGAGAATTCAAGGAAATTTCCAAAAGCTCAACAGCAAAAAGTGTTAAAAACTTTTGGTAATAAGATTGTTGTTCATTACAAATCTTCTTATGTTACTTGAATTTCAAACTGTACATGAAATACCTTAATCATTTTAACCTGAGAATATTATACTCACCCATCAAATATTAAAGACCAAATGTGTGGGTTTTTCTTTTTTCTTTCTTTTTTTTGTTTTGTTTTGTTTTGTTTTCTTAAAAAATTATTCTGGGGCAGCCCAGGTGACTTAGCCGTCTAGCACTGCCTTCAACCCAGGGCGTGATCCTGGAGACCCGGGATCGAGTCCCACGTCGGGCTCCCTGCAGGGAGCCTGCTTCTCCCTCTGCCTGTGTCTCTGCCTCTCTCTCTCTCTCTCTCTCTGGGTCTCTCATGAATAAATAAATAAAATCTTTTAAAAAAAATTATTCTAGGTTTGAAGAAGACAGTTTTTCTTTGGAGAGGCTGTAAAGGAATAAGGAAATACTAGAAATCAACTTACCCAAGCAGAAATCACTGAGGTCAGCAAAAGAGCATTTGAGCACAGAGTCTTTTTTATCCTCCTCAGCATTAACTGGGGAGAAAAAAAAAAAAAAAAAAAAGAAAAGAAATTTGTAGTTCTGGAAAGAAAAAGATTAAAATCACTTAGAAAAATGACCATCGTGACTGATGGCCAAATGATGGCCAAACAAAGAAATTTTCGAAGTTAATGAGTTGAAATTAGTTATTTAAAATTTTACTCAGTCAGGGCAAGATACATCTCTATTATATCTTAATACCTTCATCCTCTTGAGTAATTAGGCACTTTGTTATTGGACATGGATGTAAGCTATTATTCATAATTGGCAGTAATTTCATGGTATTATTGAAAAGAGAATCTTGGCATTTTCAAGTGATCCAGAGGAAGAAACCCCAGGGAATCATGAAGTAATGCATTCTCATGAGACAAAGAAAGCAACCCAGAGAGGGATGGGAGACACACGCCATCCTCTGAACGACAGGGGGCCTGGTTGTATTTTGACTCTTGGCTTTTGTGAAAACGAGATAATGATATCTCAGACGGGCATGTGTGTAGGAAGGCGCCCAGGGCAGCCACAAAGTGTCATCAGTGTGGCACCTAGCTGGCACTTCCCTGTATTTCGGCTCTTGTGTTGCCTAAGGCTTCAGGGATAGCAGTAGATTGCTAACACTTGTCCAACCATATCTTTGTGCAGCCAAACCTTCACTGCTATTGTCAATATTATTTAAAGTCTTTGGTCTTCCCTTTTAGGAAACCGAGTTTGTTATGGCTGACACAATTCTACTCAGTTACCGGTTATAGCTTCTCACCAGAAATGATAATGAGCCAGCAAACAGAAAATACCAGGTCTGGGTTCCCCCAAGGTTGGCTTCTTTCAAGGCAAGAAAGGAGTGGAAACACATCTGGTCAACAAATGGCCTTCTGTCTGACTGGTGTACCGTTCTCCTTTCTATGCCAGCCTTCCTGCTAGCGAGCTCTATAAATACTAGCAAAATGGATGAAGGAATGGTTTGAGAACACTTACTCTTTGCAAGTTGAACAAGAAAACCAGGAATAGCTGCTCACCTGGCTCTGCTTTGCCAGCGGAGAGTAAAGTTACCGAAGTGGGAGCCTGAGACTCACTCTCCGTTGACTGAAAGAGTGAGGCCGATTGGCTCAAGCTCTTTGAGTAAGCATAGCTCTGGGCGAGGCAAGGCAGGGATCTCCTGGACGGTTTCAATGAAGTTTCCTTTGTTATCTCGCTCTTGCTTACATTCATACCTGCGAATTCAGAAGGGTGAGTTTTAGAAGAAAGAAATCATCAGCAAAGGTCAACGAATAATTCTAATTCTTGTGATGGCTCTTTCAGGAAAGTACTCTTGAAAAGCACCACCCAGGGACTAGAACTCATTGAGTTAGTTTTGTTTATATTTTGTCAGGGAAGGTGAGGATTTTGTCAAATAGTTCTGAGAAATAAACAGCTTCTCTTACAGTTGACCTCTCACCATTTTTAAAGGCTTCTGTAAAAAAAAAAAAAAAAAAGCTCAAGTGGTTAAGTTCATTTAGGAATTTACGAGAACAATCATTTGGATTGTCTTTGAATAAATCTAACCATTTAGATTTCTAAGTAGCAAAATAAATGAAGCTTAATACATGAACATTTGAACTACTATTTACTATATGGAACCCTTCTTTTTATAGTCTATTTTCCCTCAAACACACATACTACATTTGATTTTCCAACCGTCTTACAAAGCAGGTATTGTTACTTCTATTAGCTGCAAGGAACTGAGACTTAGAGTGGAAAAGTGACATGACTTATGTCACACAGATAAATAAGCAGAAAGGGGTTTATATTCCAAGCTAAAACCACCACATCAAGGTGCATCTATAAGTTAGTTCGAAACTCCTGGATACCATCCATTCACCCCCAGATTTACAGACACTGAAATGTAAAGAACCTTTAGCAAGGTCCATACCAGTAGAGGGCAAGACACAGAAAGAACATAGCTAAGGGAACACCTGTTCCTACCAGTCAAGAAAACGAATTTACCTTAAGGACTCATGTGAAAAAAAAAAAAATAGAATGAATTCTGAAAATGCGACCAGTAAACTGTTAGAAGAATTTTTAGAAGATGTATAGCAAGAATATTGTGACCTAATGGATTTCACATCATGTCCCTAAGAAGGAGAAATTAAGACAAATGTAGTAGTCTGACTCCTGTTAAAATCTCAAGATGAATTTTGTGGTTTAGTAAAACTGTAAAATTTGATGGCCCGAGACTGGGTAGTGTCTCCGGATGCCATCTGACTTGACAAAATCTAAACACACGTTCCTATAATAGTAGATATAAACCGAAGCATATTTATCTAAATAATATGCATGGGGAGGGGAAGCATAAATGCACACAGAGTTTTCTTCCCTTCCTTGTCAAAATCAGCGTAGGAATCAAGGAATCAAGGAATCAAAGGAACGTCTCTGACCTGTTGCTTGAATGTGCCCTTTTCAGCGGAGGTTACGACTAGTGATGACAGCACCATTCACTGTGTGCCTACCGTGTCAGGAGCATCCTGTATGTTAGCAAGGATTCTCGTATCAGTCCTGTCCTGACCTCCCATCCCCACTTACATGTGCGAATCTTGAGACCCAAACCACGTAAGTACCCTGTCTCACATGCAGAAAGTTCTAGAGCCTGGAACAAACCAGGCCCATCTGACTGCAAGGTCTCTGCTCCTTGCCATAAAACATGTGACTTCTCGGTTTACTCCCAAATTTATAACAGTTTGGTCTTCACTCATTTTTCAGTTTTACCCTCGCTTTGAACAAGGAAAAGTATGTCTCTTGTATTGGAGTCCTTGTGGAATAGGGATGGCTATTGCAGATGAGCAATCTTTTTTTTTTTTTTTTTTTTTTTTTTTTTGATTTACAAAGGGGTGGGCAGGGCTAAGAGAAACGAGTAAAGGTTGACAACGTTCTTACAGCTCCCAAGGGCCAGAAACCTTTGTCGCCCTTGGGTTGCAGACGTCAGAGGCCTGAGACAGTCAGGGCTGGGGCTGAGGGAGCCTGAGCCCGCCCAGGCGCTGAGGAGCAGAATGCAGCCTGGGGAACACCATGGAAGGGCAAGGAGGGAGCCAGGCAAGAGCCCAAGCTCTTTTTTGTCCATTTCTAACCTGCTGCTATTCCCCAACTGGTCAAATCTAAACAGTAGCTAGAGGTCATGCGGGCCTGCGGTTGTTGTAGTCCATAGACACCAGCTTCCTGGGAGTGACAAGGTGGCGAGTGGTGCAGGAGGGACTTGGAGGGATGAACGAAGATTATTCACTACACACATGCACATGCAGTTCTTTTGTTTTTGTTTCTATTTCGGTGACCCCCAGTCTAGTTTATTAAAAAATGTGTGGACTAAGTTGCACCAACAGAAGTAGCCCCTCCTCTGCCCTCTAACCCCCCCTGCCTGTACCCTACACCCATGCACTCCCCGCCAGGGTTGTGGTGCCTCTCTGGGCACAGCCTCAGGGGGCGGGGCAGCAGGGTCTCTAGAACCCTGGCTGCTCCCCACCCCAGGTCCCTGATAGATTTAATGCCCTTAAGCAAAAGAAAGCACCGATCCTCTGCTCCTAGATCCCCACCCCCCTGCCCCAGCCCTGGCCCTCGCCCCCCACCTGGGGCTGCTCCACCAATTCCCACCACCCTCGAGGACAGAAAGTGATATTATGCACTTTTACCATTAGAGAATAAAATTTTGAGGTGGTGGGGTCTTGGGGGGTCATAAATTGTATGTGTTCTAAGAAATGTACTCTAAGATGTTTATAATTAAACACGGAAAAGGCAACTACTGACTTTATTGTACTTTTGATTGGCTTGCTCTGTGCAAGAGACGAAAGTGAACGATACACGCTCAGCCTTTAAACAAGAGTAATTAGTAGAATCAAAACGTATCTCACTCGATTAAAACGTATTAGGATGAAGAAGCAGAGCTCCGATAAACCTAATGCAAGACAGAGCGCTGTAGGGGAGGCACCGCGTTACGAAGGGGCTTAGAAATTGGTGAAATGTATTTCAAAAGTCCTGAAGGTGAAATGAGAGCCCTCGTTTTTATCTTTATCTGTGTGTGCTCTTCTCTCATTGCCAAGTCACATTTTCTGTGCTGCATGACCTCTTAGAATCATATACTTTGGGGTGTCTCAGTGGCCCCGTTGGTTCAGCGCCCAACAGGATTTTGGCTTGGGTCACTATCTCGGGGTCATGGGATGGAGCCCTGAGTGGAGCTCCACCCTGGGCATGGGGCCTGCTTGGGGTTCTCTCTCCCTCCCCTCTCCACTCTGCACCCCACCTCTAAAACAACAGCAGAGCATATGCTTTGCTTTAATAGAGCCTCATGTTTGCATTTATTTACTTAATAGGTTATTATTTAACATACAGTCTCTCCCGCTGCACAGTGAGCTCCAGCAGGGCAAGGGCCATGTTCGTCCTGCCCACAGCCACCGCCTCAGCGCGTGGCCCTGGCTCTGCATATATAACATGCAAATAGATATTTACAGAAACAACGGCTGAAATAAGGCTCTACTAATTAATGACTTTCCCAATTAACAACCTCATGTGACAGCTACTCGTTCCAATAGATGCTCGATATTCTTTCTAGACCATGGAAGACAGCAGTGAACAAAGAGCTAAAGACTCCCTGCTCCAGTAAAGCGTAAAATCTCAAGGGCACAGCAAGAGACGTCTCCTCTTCATGAAACAATGTTCTGAAACTTGAATGCTCATACCATCTACAGTCTGTAATGTTGTTGTTTTTTTTTTTTTTGAGATACAAATGAGATTTTTCTTTAAATTAAATGTTTACAGGGTAGTGTCCTACATACGAACGGAACCATTACAAAAACAATGATCCACGTATGAGTTAAGCTATTCTGATCCCACTCCTCCCCCATCCGTGGCCATTAATTTCCTTGCTTTCCTTTTAGGGCTCAAACAGATTTTGGCAGGAATTAAAGCTTGAGAGTAATAGAGGTTTCTGGTATTTATGAAATGTGCCGTGATGCAACGGGCTTTCTTTAGAATGCACAGGAGGGAAATATAAAAACAGAAGTACAAGATCCATCTGCAGCTGAGCTTTTTCCCATCGTTGTGTGTGTGCAAAGGGGTAAAGCTTGGAATTTCTGATCATCCTTGCCTGCCTCGTGGAAAGCAATTCCAACTGCAAACAAATCTTGGGTTTGGATTAGTACGTGAAAGTTGAAGCTCTGTATTACCTCTGACAAGCTGCAAAGTGATAATGTTTACCCCACTGCCAACTACAATACAGGCGGCTCCACTCTGAAGAGCCCAGAGAAGAGATTTGGATTTTGGCCCAAGTGCACGGACTATACCTGGATTACACCCCCTCCTGGAAGTGGGGAGGGTCGGAGGACTCCCGCCACATCTCCCAGGTCTACGATGGCATTTTGAAAAACGATAACTCTGATCCAATCTGTTCCAACCACACACTGTTACTGGTGAAGCCAGTAACTCAACGAGAAGCAACCGATATGTAGACTCGGAACCCAAACACAAGCACGACTAGTCCAACCAGCACTGCATCAGGGGCCTTTTCAGCCTGCCGTGAACATTCCTAACCACAGACCTTCCCACCACTTGCCACCTGCTGCTGTTGTTTTTACCGATGGGTTTCACCACACTGTGCCAAAGGCTGGCAATTCCCACATCTACTTTGGAACATAGTTTGACATTTTGTAATTGAAAGTTCACTTCAAAAGCGTAAGAATGGGAAAAAATAGCTTATACTAGAAAAGAAAAACATAAAAGTAGTATTGATTCTGGTTTGTTTGTTTTTTTTTTTTTTTCAATGAGTTTAGGATGAGAAAATTTTAGCTGTTAGGATTATTTTTTTAAAAGTCCATTTTAGGGTCTCCGGGGTGGCTCAGCAGTTGAGCGTCTGCCTTCAGCTCAGGGGTGATCCCGAGGTCCTGGGATCGAGTCCCACATTGGGCTCCCTGCATGGAGCCTGCTTCTTCCTCTGCCTAGGTCTCTGCCTCTCTCTGTGTGTGTGTCTCTCATGAATAAATAAATAAAATCTTAAAAGACATAAAAGTCCATTTTAAAGGATGAGGGATAAGTAATAAGGGCAGTATATAACGTCGTTATTAATTATTGCTATTTTAAATTATTATGTTGGCTAATAATTAATTTACCATCAATTATTTACAAGCTACTCTTCTCATTGATATTTATTTTATAGAAAGTCAGAATTTAAGTTTAATTTAATATCATTTGACTT